AATATTATTGAAGACATCATGGCTCGTATTTCGTAGTTAGCAATAATTGGATCAACGGTATATGAGTTATTGCTCTATTGTCTAAGCAAAGCGAAAACAAATTTGAATTTTTTATATAATTATTAAGAGAATAGGAATATCTTAAATAGTATTATAGACTACATATTTCTCCTAGAAATTTCGACCTTAAAAGTTTGGCTGAAATATTGGTTTTCTGTAAAAAAAAAATAATAGGCAACAAATTGTGACCATGTTTATATTATCAATAATTATCAACACAAAGACAATCTAAGACTAACAGTACTATTTTGAGACTGATATTCCTATTCAAATTCCTTGCCTTTTCATTTATTTATTTTTTTTAAAAAAAAGTCTAGATAGAGATAGCTGGTGATGAAATCATATTTCAGAATCCAATTTTAATTTACATAGCTGCTTCAGAAGACAATAATAATATTACTATTTTTAATAATTGTCAACGCTGTGTTTATTTGTCTTTAAGAAAGTGGAATATCACCACTAGTTGCTGGTATTATTGGTGCCCTGATTTCAATGGTTGTAGTACTGATTGTCAACTTGGTATATTGCTGTCTAAAAAATAAAAGGTAATTGTAAACGAAATGTTGCACAATTATTTCTTTGTAATACTCCAATACATTTCGGAGGGTAGCTGTAAGAATATTCAGAAATCCTATCTTCAATTTTTACTAGACGGATAGGTTTCTTCAGAGCAGGGATTCTCGTTCTTGTAATGTATACAAAGTGGATATTGAACCCACCGTCAAAATTATCCCCTCGCATGTCTGATGGTAAGAAATTCATCATATCGTTTTGGGCGATATACTTACAATCTGGATATAGCCTATCAAAATAAAATCTTGAAAATTGAGAAGTTCTGTGTTATTTGTACATATGTTTCCATTTATGTGCATGTGTGAGATTTCTAATTGCATCATAGTCAATAGGAAAAGAACGAAGTTCCTTGGATTTTAGAATCGGCCCTACTTTAACATACAATTACTAAACCTTGTTAAATTGCGATAGTGTCATCGATAGTGGGATACGGTGTGTTTTCAAGAGATAGACAGATACAGTAATATATATCAATAAAATATTGATATAAAATCTATTATATTTCAGACATGAACGGGATAATTCAAGTGACAGAACAGTTAGATATACATCTTCAGATAATGTAGAGACTACCAGACCTTCATATGAGAATATACAACAAGATGTTACCAAACCATCATATGAGAATATACAACAAGATGTTACCAGACCTTCATATGAGAATGCACAACAAGATGTTACCAGATCTCAAGTTGAAACTGGTCCTTATGAATCTCTAGATAGACCTTTATCTTCACCTACCTACGAAACATTGAAATAGTTTGTTAATTTGATGAAGGGAACTTATAATATAACTATTTTGTTTTTTTATAGTTGGAAGAGCTATAAAAATAAAAAGAGAAAAGAAGACTAAATTTTGATGTAATTGTAGATTTTGATAGATCTATGTTATAAGATATTTTATTAGTCTAATAATTACGATTCAATTTTCATGTTTTACTTAAGCACGTGATTGAAGAACTAATATAATTTTCATGCTTTTCAGAAGTTGCTATTAATTAAGAGTTAAAAGTCTAGCCATCTTTGCAAAATTTATTCAAATTATTGTTTGATAAAAAATTGACAAACTAAGTTTACAAATATTCTACTTAACGTAGCGTCATATTGTGAAAAAGTATGATCGGTATTCAACACAATCTGATCTAACAATCTTACATTTCAATCACAATAAACTGTTTTTTTTATGTATTCAAAATAATACTGTAAAATGCAGCTCTATTTAATTTTGTCCAAGAATGTTTTTCTGGACCATGCAAATACAAGGCTTGGAACTTGTATTGAAAGAAACGCACTAGCCTACCCTCTCAAAATATCGTACAATTCTATCGATCCAAAGGTAATCTAAGAACTAATTTGACATTAATATTTCAATTTATTTAAAGATGGGTCCCTTGATTTTCATTTACGAAAATAAAAATACTAGTTTATCTCATATGTCAAAATTAATTCGCTAAATAAGAAGAGAATTTTAATGATTGACCGATCAAGAAAGAACAAAAAGTCTTTTTTTTTATCCAGACATGGACACTTATGATTTGTTAAAACTCCTAATTATATAAGGAAACCCATCTTTAAGAATAACTTAACAAAAATACGCAAAATATGACTTATAAAAAGTACTGTAGTCATCTCTTGAAACAATCCCGTGATGTATTTAAAGTTTGAACATCAGCAAGAATTAGGGGCATCATTTATTTGCTCTCTTTATCATTGTATTAATTCTAGCTGAAGAATGTGGAAGTAATTGTAATGGTCTCTGTAAGTCTAATGGTTTCTGTAACAACTGTACTTCTGGTTATTATGGTGATAAATGTGATAAACCGTGTTCTACTAATTGTAATGATGGATGTCGACAGAGTGATGGTTATTGTATCAATGGATGTAAACCAAGGTACAGAGGAAATACTTGTAACAGAAGATGTCAAAGAAACTGTTATCAATGTCAACAAACTGGTTATTCCTGTATAGAATGTAACCCTGGATATTGGAATTATCAATGTCAGAATACCTGTAGAAACTGTAATAATAGATGTCAGAAGAGTAATGGTAACTGTACTGGTGGATGTAAAAAAGGTTTCTGGGGTATGAAATGTAATGTCAACTGTAATAAATGTAAACAAGGATGTCAACAGAATAACGGATATTGTAATAATGGTGGATGTATTTCTGGTTATTATGGTGATAAATGTGATAAACTATGTCCG